CCGGGCAGGACCCCCCCCCCCCCGCCCCCCGTGGGTTTTTGGAGGCAGGGATGTGGGTGGATCTGTGGGTCAGGTTCAGCCCTGTTTACAAGGCGGATAATCTGGGCTGATTTAAATCGGCCTCAAGAGGCTTGACTCTAATCTGAAGCACCCCAGCACACGTCACCCTGTGAAGCCTGGGGCAGCGCCCAGCTTAAATCACGCCTGGCACGAGGCTGGCTGCGTCCCCGGGGTCGGCGCTGAGCGCTCCCAGCGCCTTTTAGGGCTGGGCATGGCACCTTGCAATGGTTCCCGGCCACGCAGGGCTCTCCCGGGAGAAAACTGGAGGCTAAAATCCCTGCCCTTGCCACCTCCGGAGGGTGACAGCACCCCGGCGCGCTGGATTTGCAGCACCCTGCGCCCACATGCTGCCCAGCGCCGCTCCGCGCCACCCGGGGAAGGCGATTACCAGGGCTCTAATTGCTAAAGCCCCGGGGCTGTAGGAGCTGGTTTTCCTGGCAGGAATCCCGCTGGCAACCACCCTCGGCCGTGCCCAGTGCCCACGGGGTTAAGGACACTGCAGAGAGATGCCCTTACGGTGGGCAGGATTCAGCCCCGTCCCTCTCCTGCCTGCACCGGACCCTGAGCTGGCCCAGCAGGATGCAACCCGCAGCCCCATCCCCTCCACCAGCTTTGCACCAGGGCTCTGCGGTTTTCCCGGGAAAGCATTGGCACGGGGATGAATCCGGCCATGACAGAGGGTGGGACGCTGGCCAAGCAGGGGCGTAGCGGCCCCAGGAATGGGGGAGCAGCCACCCCCGTTAAACCACGGGGCGAGCCCGGGGATGTCAGCCCCGGCTGTAGGAAGCACCCACATTTTGCAGGAAGCACCCACATTTTATAGGAAACACCCACAATTTGCAGGAAGCATCGTTTGGAAGGAAGCATCCACAATTTGTAGGAAGCATCCTTCTGTAGGAAGCACCAATGTTTTGTAGGAGGCACCCACATTTTGCAGGAAGCACCCACATTTTATAGGAAGCACCCACGTTTTGTAGGAAGCACCCACAATTTGTAGGAAGCACCCACGTTTTGCAGGAAGCACCCACAATTTGCAGGAAGCACCCATGTTTTGCAGGAAGCACCCACATTTTGCAGGAAGCACCTACATTTTATAGGAAGCACCCACATTTTGCAGGAAGCACCCACAATTTCTAGGAAGCACCCATGTTTTGTAGGAAGCATTGTTCTGTAGGAAGCACCCACATTTTGCAGGAAGCACCTACATTTTATAGGAAGCACCCACATTTTGCAGGAAGCACCTACATTTTATAGGAAGCACCCACATTTTGCAGGAAGCACCCACAATTTCTAGGAAGCACCCATGTTTTGTAGGAAGCATTGTTCTGTAGGAAGCACCCACATTTTGCAGGAAGCACCTACATTTTATAGGAAGCACCCACATTTTGCAGGAAGCACCTACATTTTATAGGAAGCACCCACATTTTGCAGGAAGCACCCACAATTTCTAGGAAGCACCCATGTTTTGTAGGAAGCATTGTTCTGTAGGAAGCACCCACATTTTGCAGGAAGCACCTACATTTTATAGGAAGCACCCACATTTTGCAGGAAGCACCTACATTTTATAGGAAGCACCCACATTTTGCAGGAAGCACCCACAATTTCTAGGAAGCACCCATGTTTTGTAGGAAGCATTGTTCTGTAGGAAGCACCCACATTTTGCAGGAAGCACCTACATTTTATAGGAAGCACCCACATTTTGCAGGAAGCACCTACATTTTATAGGAAGCACCCACATTTTGCAGGAAGCACCCACAATTTCTAGGAAGCACCCATGTTTTGTAGGAAGCATTGTTCTGTAGGAAGCACCCACATTTTGCAGGAAGCACCTACATTTTATAGGAAGCACCCACATTTTGCAGGAAGCACCTACATTTTATAGGAAGCACCCACATTTTGCAGGAAGCACCCACAATTTCTAGGAAGCACCCATGTTTTGTAGGAAGCATTGTTCTGTAGGAAGCACCCACATTTTGCAGGAAGCACCTACATTTTATAGGAAGCACCCACATTTTGCAGGAAGCACCTACATTTTATAGGAAGCACCCACATTTTGCAGGAAGCACCCACAATTTCTAGGAAGCACCCATGTTTTGTAGGAAGCATTGTTCTGTAGGAAGCACCCACATTTTGCAGGAAGCACCTACATTTTATAGGAAGCACCCACATTTTGCAGGAAGCACCTACATTTTATAGGAAGCACCCACATTTTGCAGGAAGCACCCACAATTTCTAGGAAGCACCCATGTTTTGTAGGAAGCATTGTTCTGTAGGAAGCACCCACATTTTGCAGGAAGCACCTACATTTTATAGGAAGCACCCACATTTTGCAGGAAGCACCTACATTTTATAGGAAGCACCCACATTTTGCAGGAAGCACCCACAATTTCTAGGAAGCACCCATGTTTTGTAGGAAGCATTGTTCTGTAGGAAGCACCCACATTTTGCAGGAAGCACCTACATTTTATAGGAAGCACCCACATTTTGCAGGAAGCACCTACATTTTATAGGAAGCACCCACATTTTGCAGGAAGCACCCACAATTTCTAGGAAGCACCCATGTTTTGTAGGAAGCATTGTTCTGTAGGAAGCACCCACATTTTGCAGGAAGCACCTACATTTTATAGGAAGCACCCACATTTTGCAGGAAGCACCTACATTTTATAGGAAGCACCCACATTTTGCAGGAAGCACCCACAATTTCTAGGAAGCACCCATGTTTTGTAGGAAGCATTGTTCTGTAGGAAGCACCCACATTTTGCAGGAAGCACCTACATTTTATAGGAAGCACCCACATTTTGCAGGAAGCACCTACATTTTATAGGAAGCACCCACATTTTGCAGGAAGCACCCACAATTTCTAGGAAGCACCCATGTTTTGTAGGAAGCATTGTTCTGTAGGAAGCACAGCCTAACAATTAAACCTGTTAATGCCAACCCGGCTGATTTTTGCCTAAAGCAAGCTGGCTCCTCCAGGCAATGCCCTCTGGCAGCGGGAAGGGTGACGAGCAGATGGGGAGGCGGGCGGCAGATGGGGAAACTGAGGCACGGAGCTGCTGGGAGCGGGGGCCATGAAGGAAGAAGGGGTCTGGGGCACGGCGAGCAGCAGAACTCAAGCCTGCCAAAAAAAAAAAACCCTGGTCCATCTTTCCCCCCGCCCCCGGCCAAGGGAGTCTCCCGGCAGGCTGCGAGAGGTCTTGGCTTTCTCCCGGTTTCTTTGGAGAGCTTGTCCCTGGTTTTTTGGAGAGCCTTTCCCTGGTTTTTTGGAGAGCTTTTCCCTGGTTTCTTTGGAGAGCTTGTCCCTGGTTTTTTGGAGAGCTTCTCCCTGGCTTTTTTGGAGAGCTTGTCCCTGGTTTTTTGGAGAGCTTCTCCCTGGCTTTTTTGGAGAGCTTGTCCCTGTTTTTTTGGAGAGCTTGTCCCTG